TAGGTAATAGGTTTGAAACAAAGAAAAGCACAAGGTGATTAATAAGAAGGGCAACTTCATAGCTGGGCTTGTTAAAGGAGGTGCAGGTGTTAAAGGAGGTGCAGCCACCTGCCTGGCAGGTGGCTGATGGAACAACACTGAGGTTTTTTGCATGCCCTTTTCTGCTCCTTTTGGTACTATCGCTGGATGTGGAAGCCCAGGGATGACAGCTCAGCCTTGGAGGAGTTTCACTGTTCTTGGAGGCCTTCTAGCCACCAGTGAAAGCTGCATGCCTCAGATCTTGAAAAAGTGGGTCCTGGATTTTTTCAGCAGCAAATCTATAGTTTCAGTTTCATTCAGTAACACCACCACATCCCCAGTACCCCCCATCTAATTATATCTTGTCCTTTCTATGTCTGTTTCCCTATTAGCACAAAAACACACACTCGTTTTTAAATCTTGTTTTGGGTTGTGAAGTCCTATGTCTATGCCAAGCAGAGTGATTCCACCACTGGAGGGATGGAGGGATGAATCAAACCTGACCAATCTGGGCTCTGTGCTGCCCCTCAGCTGCTCATCCATCCTCCCTTCTTATCACATAATCATGCTCAGAACTCCAAATGAGAAGGATGGTTAGGAAAACCAGGATATATTTCAAATGTTTATCAAATGATTGATGGAACTGCTTTGTCTAAATGATCCATTCAGAAGACTGGGTTGTTTTCTGAGTCATGATCTCTGCTGAGATATATAAAGAACTTCAGACTATTAATTACTGAAGAATCAGCCAACTTGATAATTGAAACACTCACAAGACAGACAGCTATAAGAAAATAATAAGAGGAGCAGCATGTCCTCAGCTAGCACATGTGTTTGAAAGGAAGATGTGAATGGCTTTTATATTAAGACTAGTCAGAAAACTCAGCCTTTCCATTTCATGTCTGATCAGTGGGATTGCCCCAGCTCTTGACAATTTTATTCTTTTGTCAATTGTGTGAGTACATTCAGTGCTACAAATACACAAAGCTGGGCCAAACAGGTGGAAGCATGAAGTGTGACCCCGTTTTTCTACCATTTTGGCTTCATGTAGGAGAAAGGACCTTTTTCCAACCTGCTGGCATGGTATTGTAATCCACTGTCTGAATAAATATATCCTCTGCTTTGTATTCAACACTTCTAGAAGGGAGCCGAGGAAACTCATTTTTGCTATGATTAAAGGATCCTGAGATGTTACTGAGCACCCACTCCCACGGTTACTGCACCAGTGCTGTAACCTGCCAGGTAGACTGTAAAGAAAGACTTGATGGGTGTTGACTCACTCAAAGTTTTTGAAGATCCTTAGTAAAACTACATTAAATGGAATTAACTTTTTCCATGCCAAAAAGTGGCTGTAAAAACCAGCAAAAAGGGTTCAATCCCATCCAGAATTCAAATCCGCACCTAGTGTATGTAATTCATCTGTGTAACATCACGCTTAGTGCCCCTGCCAATGAAACCTCCTTCTCCAACCCTACTCCTCTAATCGGAAGCACAGCCGTACTTTCAACCTCTTAGAAACATTTCTGTGTATCTGATTCTGAAAAGTAGCTTCTAGAAATACTACATGGATTAACTATGAAGGTTCCTGGGACACTTTTGTGTCTCTCAGTAAAGGTTCCGAGGCACCTTAATGCCTCTAAGCCTCTCACTCTTGCTAGCACAGGACAGCTTGAAACTTAGTGTACCCATCATAGGTCATTAAGTTTCATAAGTTGCTCCTGAACAGAACCCAATGAATTTTGTTTGAATAAAGCAGTAACATCATTAAACCATCATTCCATATGCCATTTTATAGCAGCTATAAAACATAGGCTAAAGTTTAAAGATCTGATAATTTAGGACTTGTTAGGGTTTCACATTTCTTGGGAAATGTAAATCATCACCTCCCAGCATGATAAAATTCTAACCCTTGTCCTTGGTGTGTTGAGGGTTGCTATAAAACCTTTCATTTGCTGATAGCCTACAATTAGATATTGCCGTGATTTATGTAATATGGGTAAAAGGCAGGGAATAAAAAGGCAATAAATACATTATTATAAATATTAGCATATTTAAATTCCTTTACCTTTTGTTTCCGCTCATATTGTTTTTATCTCTGATAAATGGTGTCTAGTAGCCCAAAAGAACACCGTCTCTCTGTTGATTTGAGTCCTGAACAGGTAAATAATAACAAAAAGGCTGAAGACATCAGAAGAAGTCAAAGAGGAACTATGTATCTATAGTAACAGCAAAATTTTCTGTTTGGTTTCAGTTATTACTCAGAAAGATATCTGAAAGGATTGTCTATTTCTGCCTCCCATCTTCTGGTGGCTATTTTCACATACCCCTAGTTCCTGACTTGGATGGTCATATTTGACACAGCCTGAGCTCCTCGTTCCTCATGCTTGCAAAAAACATGAAAAATAAATTTCATGACTCAAATACCAGAGAGAAAGCAAATTAAAAGGATATTTTTTGTTGTTGTTGTTGTTTATTCTCTCTTTTTTTTGTCTAGATCTGACAACTTTAAAGACATGATTTCTGTATTTGATTCCTGTGTTTTGAACTTTTTAAGTTAGCATTCAGAAAGATGCCACAGAAGAGTTAATATGGAAATGGTTCAGCTGAGAGCTCTTTACCCAGAGACTGGCATATCCACCGCTTATCAGTTTTGACAAATTTCTCATTTGAGAATTCATCTTGCTGCCTAGAGAGCGCCAGAGCTGCAGAGCACGGTTGCACAGCTCTGCTGGTACTGCACAGCCCTCTCCTCACAGGAGGGGTTGCCTTCCCAGCCTCGGGCAGCCCCTCAGATGGGACCGAAGCAGTAACTCAGTGCAGTCCTGTCCGTGCTCCTGTGTCCTGCTGCATGCCACTTGAGGAGGATTCATAAACAGGGAGAGAGCAGAGATGCATTGGGGCCTGGGGAGATAACTTGCTCTATTTTTTTAAGGAAATTTTTGGCAAAGGAAGAGCTTTGTGTCAGCTTACAGCCTGGCTTGTTTCCACGCTGAAATCTAACCCCCTCCAAAGTGATGAAACCAGCTGCTTGCACAAAGGCTGTATGGGATATTTTTATATAAATAGGAACTTCTTCGTGAAATAAGGCAGGAGCACCAGCAATAACAAGGGTTGCTTCCACGTACCAAGCCCTGCGTGGGTGGTGAAAGGAGGGAGGTGATTAGCTCCCTGCACTGGCATGGCACACGTGAGCTATGCAGCCCTTCTTGGGGCAGCCTGTGGAGGGGCAAATTTTGTGGAGCCCCAAATATTCCGATCTACCAAATTTCTCGCTAATGCAGGCATTGCTAATACGGGCCACGAAATGGCTGCAAATGTCTTTATTTTTAAAACCACACCACTTCCCAACTGTATGAAAGATTGAATGACCACACTGATGTTGTATAACCTCTTAGTACCTTCTTTTTCCATCTGTAAACCCAAAATAGCAATGCTAAATCTAACGGCAGATGCTGTGAGACTAAATGAACTTCTGAGGTCTGGCTTTCATCAACAGACACAATTTAGGGCCTCTGTCTTTGATGATGCTATGCTCATACTCATCACTGGGCCTATCCCACTGTCTGTTTTATTAGATCTCTTTGCATTGTAGGTGTTAGATATAAAATGAATGGAAAACTATTTTCAGGCTGAAGAGCAAAGGCAGTATCAATTTTGCCAAACATTCCATAAACAGGAAAGTGATGAAACCCCACAAGATTATTTTAAAAGAACAACAAAACCCAATGGGATTATTTTCATTTTCCATCTCCTTTTTATTATTTAAGTGCATAAATATTAAAGCCAGCAAAGGCTGTTAAATAATTTGCTGTGATATTCTGAATGGAGGGAGCTCAGACTTCCACCTTGGGACTGTTGGACGAAGCCTAACAGCATGTGTTTGAGTAAAACAAGCCTTCCAGAAACACATCTTGTTCCGTTAAGATTTCCAGAGAAGCAGAAGAGTCTCGGCTCCATGCTAAGGGTTAGAATAGAATCAGCTTAAAAAAAATTTAGATATTTTCATTGCCAAATATGACCTACATCAGCACCAGAGGCTTTCAGAAAAATACACTTTAAAGCCACAGGAGTTGGCAGCTACAGGAATTTTAAATGACTGATGCTCATTTCTAGGTGGCTTGTGAACCATTAAGCAGATGTTTGCAGCTCTAGTTTCACGAAGGTTTTCCAGTTTTTCTCCTGACTTTTCACATGCATGCTGTCTGTGACAAGGAGCATACAACCCAGACACAGACCTGCGAGACAGCAAGGTTGGAGCAACACCAAGAGTTCAGCTCTCAGCGCTTTCTAGCCCTCTTTAAAAGCAGGCTGGTTTTTTTTTTTCCTTATTTTGTAAAAATAGCTTTTGTCCTCAACATCAGATGGGAGCACAAATTAGCAGTATATCTTAGGAGAAATGAAAAGTGTACTTGTAAATTTTCTAACTTATCCCATGCCATGCTGGTGCAGAAGAAGGAGATAATGGGCATTCATGACTCTTTTGCCTCATTCCCACCTCTGGTGTAAGGGCGGGACCACCTAGTACACAAACAAGTGCTTTGCCACAGAATGGTTCCCCTCAAATCAGAGACCATCTGATTCAGAGGTAAGGTCACACCTCCTGTTTCTGATTCTCAACTCTGGTCTATTTTTTGGAATGTTGAACATAGCTGTGTGAGCAGGAAGTCCTCTTGAGCTATTGCATGTTTGGCCCTGCTCCAGCACTTGAGAGTGGAAAAGGCAAGAAATACCTGCATATCTTCCCCAGTTTGGACTGGGTGACTGCATGACTGTGGTGCCTAATTTTGGGCATGGAGCAGTGTGGCATGTGACAGGCATTAGGTCCCATGCAAACAGAATGAAAAGACAGCACTCCATGGAGAGTGCATTGTAAATACTGTCTTATTTTGTTCTTGCTGGGTCAGTGCTGCAGACTGCAAACGTGAGGAAATCGCTTCAGCCAGTGCTGAAACCACATTTACTTACCTGTGTATTTAGCAGTCTGGTTTAGACCACACACAGATTACAGTATGTGTTATACCACACAGCTGTTGCTGCTCATTGATCATTGGTTTACTAATGCCATAAAATCCCTCCCTAACCTCCTTCTGCTGATCTGTAGCATGGAAGAACAAGTTGAAGGCATATTCTCATCAGGAAATGAATCCTCATCTCATTATTCAGGTATGTTTTCAAGCTCATGGTCCTGTGCCTCCTTCACATCTTGCAAGGTCAGGAACAGCATGTGTTTTTTCAAATATGTGTATTTGTCTCTGACCAAGCCCCTAAGGCTCCACCTGGCAGTGCAATCAATCAAAACCTGTGCTAGAAGTGGATTCTTAACTGGGTCTTTTATGTTAAGTTGTATAATTGGTAATAGGCTTGCAATGATGAGGTGGGAAAAAAGACTGTAAGTCTCTAGAAATCTATGTTCCTTGTAGATTTTAGAGTTTTTAGAGTAAAAAATTTCTGCCAATAGACATGGAAAAAAATTACCACATGTTCAAATGGCTGTAGCTTTTGAACTGCTGTCTGGCTCAGTTACTAAACAACAGAGATGGAATAAGTCACCTCTGGTCTGCTGAACTGTAGTACGTTCAAATTAGTAGTCCAAATTACTACAATAAGGCATAATGACCCAAATAGGAGGTAGTAGGTCAAAATTCAGTGAAAGGCAATACAGACCAACTTTAAGCACCAGATCAAAAAGTTTGTCACATTACTTTCTGACTGGTAAGAGCTAGTATCTTGCCCATAGACAGTTATTAATAGCCAAATTTACTAATGTTTGTCAAAATCATTGAACTTTGTCCACCTACAGAACATCCTCACATATCAATCTCTCTTGATAGTCAATGAAGATAAGGACATGTAGGGACTAAGCCATCCTGACTATTTAAACACCACTGTAAAACTGCATATTAAATCTGCCTAGTTTACTCTGCTGACTCCAATGGGTGTCTAGATGATGCAGTTCAGGTGGAGACATGGGGAACTTAGAAGACAGTATTTCATCAGGTGAATCCTGGCTGTACTACCCAGTTAATGCTCCTTAACACACTATATACCTGAATCTTCATTTTCTTAGGAGTATCCACTTCATTTTGGATCAGCTGGTCTGCTGATCCAAAACCAACAAAAGATTGGGTGACTTTTGAAGACCTGTCCAAAGACTGGAGAGTTGAACACAGGTGCCCACCAGAACTCCCACACCCTTCAAATTGTTAGAGTTAAGTCTGTAAAACTATTACCACAAGTTCATGCTGATTCACTGCAGCACTGTTTATTAGGTTGAAAAGTGCCTAGAGGATAAAAGTAATTTAGTAGTAATCATGCTCTGAAACTGAATTCAATTACTCAAGGACTTAAAGAGCTTTTTTTAAGTTGGACTCTTCTTGCAGATTATGCACATTAATTTTACTTTTGGAAACGCATACGCAACATAGCCCTGATTTAACTGCACAGCCAATGCAGTCAGATGCACAGGCCACGTGTTTTCTTCTGCAGGTGAGGCCTGATCTTGCAATCGCTGAATGTGAATAAAAGGACCTATTACCTCTGGTGGTGCAGGGTCACGCTCACGGGTACGCATGAATGTGGCTTGTCATTTCTGCATTTTCCCCTGCTACTGCCAATAAGCTCCTAAGACTTGCAGGATGTATCTACACCATTTTCTTTTTTTCCTTTGTAAGAGTTCCAATCAATTAGTGATGAGTCTCACCTTATGGTTCAAGCCAGCTGTCCTTTGGGTCTGTCCTCCTGTGTGTTGCTAACCCCCAGGTGTTTGGTATAATTCATTGCCAGACATGACCAGTATTGTGCTGCCCCACACTCTCTAGCTCCTGAATCAAGTGTCCTTCTCTAAATCAGCTGAAGACCATCTTCTTCCATTCATCTTTTGTTTGAATCTCCAGAACTTTCTGAAATATGAAAGATGCTATGCTTAAAAAAATAAGCCTTCCTCAACATGTGGATGAAATACTGTCTTTGCTCTCTTTCTTGCTGTATGTTATGTCCTCCTCTTCCTGTAAGAGGTAGAGCTATTTCACTTGTATTATTTCAAACAACTGCTTCATGCTACCCCAGCGTTCATGAAAGGAATAAAGTGGCAAGTAAATGGACTATGCGCTGGGGTCTTAGGTTTTTAAATTAGGTCAGGAGAATTCACAGAGTCTGGACACGCAGTGGTAAATTAGCATTGCTTACAATCTCTGTACAGAAGAGACAGCTACTTAAAAGATTTGGGGAAATTATTATCAAATAATTATAAAGAGAGGATTGTCACATCCTGCTTGCCCTCAGGCCACCCTGCCTGGCACTGGGACTGTGAAAGCTGGCAAACACCAGCCCCTTCCTCACCTGGGCAGTATGATTCGCAGGGGGTCCCAGTGTGCAGGCTTAAGGAGGTTCCACCTGCCAGGGCAGAAAAGGAGCTAAGACAGAGTACCACAGACCATTCCTGACTGTATTTGTGTCCCTCCTGTCACTCCCATAGGATTCGCTCCATCCATTCCTCTCTGTGCTGTGCAAGCAGAAAGCAGCATATGTCTGCGTGTCCTTGAACTATCTCCCAGCACATTGCACAACCCTGGCCTTACTGTGAGCCAGGAGGGACATGACCTCCACATGTCTTGGGAAAGCATTTGATACTGCCCGCAGGCCCTTGCTGGCACGGTGAGCTGCCCGCTGGCAGCCCAAGAGCACTTCGAGCCCTCTGCCTGGGAGCAGTGCAGAGAGGTGGAGTGCCAAGGGGGATGTCCTTCTGCACCCTAAGACCCAAGGGAATTACACGGCTGACATGTTGCAGCCTCCAAAAAAGCCTATGAGGAGGCAAAAGGCCAGTTGCAGAGGCTGGGTTGTTTCTCTCACTCATTAGCTAAGAAAACCAGACTAAGAAAACCCAAATTAAATGATTATACAGTAAAAACAAGTGATCTGCTCTGGGCTGCCCCAGTTGGAGCTGTATTGGCTCTGAGGCTGGGTTTGGCCTGCTGTGAAGACAAGGATGCCCAATGCCTTTGTAAAGCCAAGACCTTTGTATGTAAATTGGCTGCATTATATCTTTTCCCAAGATGCATTAAGTCTTTAATATGCAAAACATAAACCATCTCTCAGAGGATGGGATGGGTTGAACAGCTGTCAATTAAGTCCCCTCTGAAGGACTATTAAAGCAGTACTGTTTAAATGGTATAAAGGCCATTGAGTAAAGGCCACTGTTGAAGCAAAACCAAAGAGCCTGCATGAGATCAAGAGGGTCTTTACCACCCCCTGTGCAGCTGCTGCCTAGTTCTGCTACATTTGTTAGCTTTTATTATTAGCTCTCTGGGCCATGCTCCAGGACACTGAGCAGTGCCCACGTGCTGAGCACAGGGAACTTGGTGCCTCATTTTACTTTTGCAAGATCTGAGCAGTTTGGGGCTGAAATTACCAGTGTCACAGGGTGGCAGTGGACCTACATCAGCAACTGGATCCTGCAGGAGTGTGGGATCAAGGCATGTGGATGATGGGAGTTTTGGTTGACAACCGGGTGAATATGAGCCAGCAGTGTGCTCAGGTGGCCAAGAAGGCCAACAGCATCATGGCCTGTATCAGGGATAGTGTGTCTAGCAGGATTAGGGAAGTGATCATCCCCCTGTACATGGCACTGGTGAGGCCACACCTTAAATACTGGGCCCCTCACTACAAGAAAGACATTGAGGTCTGGAACGTGTCCAGAGAAGGGCAATGAAGTTGGTGAGGAGTCCAGAGCACAAATTTTAAAAGGAGCTGCTGAGGAAAATGGGATTGTTTAGCCTGGAGAAGGGGAGGCAGAGGGGAGACCTTATTGCTCTCTACAACTACCTGAAAGGAGGTTGTAGCCAGGGAGGGTTTGGTCTCTTCTCCCATGTAACAAGCAATAGGACAAGAGGAAATGGTCTCAAGTTGCACCAGGGGAGACTTAGATTGGATATTGAGAAAGATTTCTTCATCAAAAGGGTTGTCAAGCACTGGAATAGGCTGCCCAGGGAAGTGGAAGTGCCAGTGAGTCACCACCCCTGGGCTGGTGTAGATGTGGTACTGAGGGACATGGTTTAGTGGTGGTTTTGTCAGTGTTAGGTTGATGGTTGGGCTTGATGATCTTAAAGATCTTTTCCAACCTAAATTATCCTATAATTTTATGATCTCAGTGTTGGGTCAGGACAGAAGGTACTATTACCAGTTAAATTCCTGTCTGTAGGTTTATTTTTGCTTTTTCACAGGGTGGTAGGCTTCTATATCTAAGGGTACAAAATGGTGCAGGACAAGTTTTGTAAAAAAGAATCCTTTTTCCCTCATTAATGCCTGTTTAGAAGGCTAAGCTATTGGGAGGGTGGAGGAAATTTTCCTTTAAACAGGGACTGAGCAATAATGAGGGACTGAAAAGGATTAGAATGCTGTTGTGAACACTAATTTCCTTCTGTTCTTTGTTACAGATTATAGGTAGGCATGTAATCAGACATAAGGATAAGGATAAAGAAACCACAGAGTTTGGGGAAATGAAGGATTAGGTCTTGGTTTGACCTGAACCCATGTGAAAAACTTCCTTGCAACACTTACTGCTTCTCTTAAACACCAGGATTAGGCTGCATGAAGCTCTGGACAAAAAAACCTAAACAAAACCCCTGCCTGTATGAATTTACCACCTGGAGATAAATAAAGCTGAGCACAGGCTATAAGCAGGCACGCTCATGCCTCTGTTCAGAGCTGAAGTTTTGGTCCTGACCCATCTACACTCAGGTTTTGACCTGGATTTCCAAAACTATTGGCTCACATCATGTTTATAAAACCATAGAATCAATCAGTGGTAGGGGGGCCTGATTCTGAAAACTGGGCCACAAATGTGTGCTTGTGAAGGATGCATTAGAAAGGAATTAGATTGAAACCAGGTAGTGTTTCATGGGAAATACATACACTTAAAGTGGGAAATTATATACAGCCCTTCCAAATCTCATTAAGCTCCGTGAACTATTTTGTGTGCTGTGATGTGCTGTATTTTCTGTGATGCAGAACATGACTGAGATCTGCAACAGGGCATGGTCCTGTGCTGTGACCTGTGCTGGCTGCATGCCCCCCTCAATCATTCAGAGGAAAAACATATATTCATGCATAGTAGTTAGAGAAAAAGAAAATTACTAAAAAAATTCAGATGAGAAAGAAATCAATTGTTGTCAGATGCTAAAAATACTTGCATTTATTCATTAACACATAACACCATGAGATCCTGTGTCTTGCATGTGGCACACACAGCCTAGTGTCATGTAAATGAATGAGAGATAATACTCAAATGAGCTTTTTCCAGTCTATTAGGGGAGTATTGCTTGAGGTTTAAATCACTGCAAAAGCTACCAAAACTTGCAAGGTAACACACTCAACATATGTGTTTTTTCCACTATTAAATCAAGACCAATTACAAACCACGGTAATCAAATATGAAAAATCATATTTAAAATAAGGACAGAGGTAAGAAGTGGAGAAAAAAAAGTAAAAATAGCAAGCAGCAAAATTCAGTGTGCTCTGTAGCCTGGAGACATGCAGAAAGGATTGGGACACATTTCTGTCTTTCGTTCACTTATGCCAGTCACTTCCACGCAGCATGTGTTGTGAAGGAACCGGAGAAACACCCCATCAAAGTCATAAAATAGCAACAAGAGCACAAAGTATGAGGAAATGTAATCCAGAGCCCAGAGCACGGTAGAACTTGGGCAGTGACAGTAGCTGTGGTAATTCCTTACAGAGAGGAATTCAGCTGGTTTAAAAATAGAAGTTGTCAGGCAAAACAGAAAGTCCTGGAGACAAGCAGGTGGCTGCAGCAGATTTTCATTTGAAATGCTAAGGTGGAGGATATCACCGTCTTCATCCAGCCTTTTTGTTTCTTGAGATTCAGAAGAAGCCAGGAAAGGAAATCTCTTGTCCTCCCATTGAGAATCCCCTTCATGGGTAAACTAAGATAATGCTTAATATGAACTATTGCCTCTCCTCCAATTAGTCTATTGGTATTCTCTTCGCTCCTACGGTTTGAGAGGTTACTTAGAGGCCAGACACTCTTACAAATGTGATTTACTGTCTGTCAAAGATGACCTTTTTTTTCCCCAGTTTCTCCAGGGCTCTGAAACTGCATCCCTGTTAATGCTTACGGGCTGTTGCCTCTGGCAATGGAGGAAGGGATCTACTCCTAAACTAACCAGATTATGTCAGAAATGGGAATAGGCAGAAGGAAACAAACAACAGCCAGAGCAATCTATCAGTCATTCCCAAGGGGCTCTTAGCAAACAGCCTTGATGCACTCTCAGTACAGGAATTTACTGGCAGTGCAACAAAATAAAAAAAAAAAAGAACAAAGCATTGCAAAAAGAACAAAGCATTTTCATCGATTATATGCCACATGCAAACCAATAACCAAGTCATCAAAGTATATGCTTTTGCAGATTATTCTTTTTAAATAGACTGGGCATAGAGTTGTGCCAAAATTACCTCTGCTGTGGTTAGATAGGGAAAGGTACATCATACCTAAGTTTGGATAGGGAAAAGTACATCATAACTAAGTTTCAGCATACTACGTGGCTGTAGTGCATGTATCTCCATCTGAGCTTCTCATCGTAGGCTCCTGCCACCATCAATGGAAAGAAAAAGTAGGCCAGTTTAAGTCTGTTTTATATGGTGTATTTTAGATGTAAACTTTAGAGTGAGATAATGGACACTGGTATGCCTAATTGTAACCATTATTAAGGCATGTCAGATGAATGCCTCTAACAGACTCTTCTCTTGATCACATGAATCCCATCAAAGAAGTGGTTTATCCTAAGAGAGCTTGGCCAGTGTAGACTCAGTACTGCCCAGTAACTGTAATCCTTTGCCCCATGTGTGGATGTTGGTTTATGTTCAACTACAGTGTTTGACAATCTCATTGATTTGCTAGAACTAGTAGTGCCTGACTTTTTTCTGGGCAGTCCCAGGTAGAGCAGCACCTAGTGGGACGATTATGTCTAGCAACAGACTCCTGCCCTTGGGGCAGCACCATCTGAAGCAAGTGTCTTTTCTGGACTTTTTTTTTTTTGGCATCTCTGTATCTTCAGGGATGCCTGAGCACTACCCATTTCGCTTCCTAGCAGTCGTAAGGATTGCAAGAGCTGTACTTCGCAGAGTACATTACAGCATATTGCTGGGAGAACAGGAAGTCTAGTCTTTTCTCACTCTGCTGAGACGGGTGTTGGCAGAAGTATATCAGCCCATAAAGAGCTGAGGCATAGATAAGGTCCCCCCAAATCCTTTGGTCTTCAGTAGCGCACTCTGGTATACTCTGGTATTCAGGTGACTGATTTCCCCTGACTTCTGCTGCAGATCTATCCTGCTCTCCTTGTTTTTCTCCTGAAGTTTCTTGCCATTTCTTTGGGTTTTTTCCACGGAATGTGTTCATTTTGCAAGTTTCTAAAGATGTAAAATGTGGAATCACCTTCTGCGTTTCTGCATTTAAAAAGAAATCATCCGTCTTAAAAAGTCATGTCAGTAATGACCTTATGTGCACATTCAGGGGATGAGCATTTTCCCTGTATTTCCTTTTATGCTAATGAACTTCTTACTGCTTTTTCTGTGGTGTAAACCAATGCACCTAAGCAAGGGACAGATTTGGTTAAGTGAATTTGAAGAGCTTTACTCCAGCTGATAGAAAATATGGATGTGAAGCATCAAGGAAGAGTATGATAGGATACAAATGGATTTTGTTCTGTGCTTACATTAGAGGAAGCAATGCAAGTGCATATATTTGCATGCTCAGGATACAAAAAGGAGAGTATTTTATATTGTGGGCACTTGAGCATTAACTTCTTCAGTACCTTCTGGGTCCTACCTAAAACCAACAGAGCACTGCCAAGCAAGGCAGTCCCATGGGGACTCTGCAGCCATCACCTCACTTCACCTCTGTCCTGGCCTTCTAACGTTTCCTCCACAAGCAACAGCTGCCCGTCAGGGTAAGCTCTGCTGAGGCCAAGACTCGACTGGCATCCTCCTCCCTCACCACCGTGCAGAGGGATCTCACTGGCAAAACACCTTCAACCTCTCTGCCTCCTCCCTTCCCTTCTTTCCCAGTCTGCTCCCTGTACCTTCCGTCCTCAGGGGAGAAAATTGTCCTTGTGACATCTGTAAGTGAGTAATTGTAATACTTTTTAGCTCGTATCTTTCATGTTTCTCCAAACACTTCAACAATGTCTTTAAGTTGGCATCTCATTCTTCTGAGATACAGGTGTCTGAGGCAGAAGGGGGAAATAAGGACTGTAGGGGAGTATCTGTTCCAGACTTTAGGCATCTAAAAGTTTACGTGTTTAGTCTTAACAGTTTGCACATGCCTCCTCTATATAAAAAGGGTCACCCAAGAGAATAATTCTAATGGAAGACTGGGACATTAATCAATTCACTGAACTTCAAACATCTCCATTTGAACTAGTCAGCCCAGTTCTTCTTTTCAGTCAGTGGAGAGAAGTAGAGTATGATTCATCATGTCTATGATAGGATGAGATGAACTGCACCTATTTTAATGATGACTAGCTTGGCATCTGATGTCTGTATTTTAAAAGCTGATGTTTGGTGAGTTGAATTTCATCCATTGTGATAAATGTCAGTGTTCACTGAGATTAGTTTTGATACGCCATCAAGACTACTTGCTGCCATGTACTGTACATCGTGTTCAGACTCAGTTCCAAGGTACAAATGAGACCATTTGATGTTGCTTGGTCTTCAGTGCAACTTGTAGTTCTTATGTCATGGATTCAGCAAACTCTATAACTAAAAAGTTCTACAAAGTAGTTGATTGCCAAGGCCATTTGTCAGCCAGAACTTGTGTAAGAGGATGAGAAAGCATTATAACAAGGACCGTTTTTGTGGTCCTGACATTATTCAGCATTATAGTGATTTTTAAAACCAACTGTCCTTTATTAAGGGGGAAAAACAACAGGAAAAAAGAACAACTGGAGAAGGAATTGCTTTGTAGACTGTTGTGATTGCTCAAAGTCCTGTCTTTCCCACCCATCATATTCAGGTGTACGTCTCTGAAGAAACCCATGTTTTTCCAAGCATGGCCTGTTGCCAATCCCAGGTAAGAAATGTCCTGTTCTAAATTATCACAGATTATCAATCTTACTCAGTGTCACCTGCTTCACCAGAACCTGTCTTTGGTTGTGCTGGGTGTTTTGGAAAAGAGCATTTGAACGATTGGCACTATGCAGAGCCAAGATCTCTAGGTAGTATGAGCATGTTCTACTCCTTTTCTCTTTATTTTCAGTTTTATGATCTTGCATGATAAATTTAAAGTTAAGTACTTTTCACTCATTATATTTTTCAGTAAAGAAGACCAAAAATGTATCTCCTAAGTAAGCAATGTGGAAAGTGTCTTGTAACTCTGTGAGACACCTCAATACAGCTGGCTGTCTTTGGCTGGGATGAATTCCAGTCGTTCCATCTTTGTGTACAGCCACAGGGATACACATCTTCCTGAGGCAGTTATTCTTGAATCTCATTTGAGTCCCTCCTGATAGTCTTAGTACCACAGGAACTATTTAGCCATGCCTCAAATGGCCACTTTGATTTAACTAGGGGAAACGAGGAGATAAAATATTATCATTTCTTCCTGATAAAAATAAAAGCATCTCAGACATAATTTTAATTGAGTGGAAGGATGGGTATGTTTAAAGAATCATACCCATTTGGCTGAATTAATTATTGAGATAAAAAGTTCTGATATAATCAACAAGGAAAGATTAAATCATATTGAAAAGCAAATACTACATTCAGAAATCAAGACATTCATTTGCGTACATGCATAAGAGAAAGATAAAGGGCAGATGGATTCTTGATCATAATTTCATTTTTTGTCTGTGTCTTTCAAATGATAAGGACTCCATTTCCTCTGGGTTAAGTCTTGCACAGATGTCAGCTTTGCAGACCAGGTCAGCAAAAATAAAATAGTAAACTGAAAAGTAAAGGAGGAATATGTTTGAGTTTCACAGCATTCTTGTGACTGTCTGTGCAGGGCAGAATCAGCTTTATCTGAGCCATGTTGAGCTTGAAATCATATCCATTTCCAGGAGAATTTTTGAATAAACACATTTTCTGGTTTTTCCAATGTCATTGTTGTCTTCTCTTAAGCTGAGCTGATTGAATTCATAGCTGAAGAAGAAAACAAACCAACAAAAGACGAACCAAAACTGGTGAGAGGAAGTAAAAAGTCCAGACGAAAAGGATTTTTAAGTCTTCCATTCAAGCATGTACGATAGTCATATATTGAGTGTCCCAGTGGACCAACGTTTTCTTCCAAGTCACATATACCTTGCTCAGGAGCAGTAGCTCCAAACTGACTCACTGCCTGCTCTCTCATCTCACAGCACTCACAGCGTTAACTGACGTAGCTGTCTTAGTACAGGATCATGCTTGCTCTACATAAAAGCATGAGCAGAACAATTTCAGACCTCAAGCCATGTCTATTGTCTAAATGTCAGCTAGCTCGTTGATTGAATGGATTCCTTTGTTATCAGAGATGACTGCTCTAGACCTTACCTGCTGACCACAGGTTGAAGGAAAGATGGACCATGAGTCTGGAAGTAGCTGAAATACCTGTATTGGCTGTTTTCAGAAAGAGGTTTCCGAAAAAAAAGACATGCCTTCCAGTCCCTGGTGCTCAGTCCAGTCCCACTGAGGAGTCCTTGGGGAGATTGGTTGACTTCAGTAGAAGTTGATTTGTGCCTCATTTCTGCACAAATTTATGATGGAGGATGTAAACTGACTACCGATGGATTTTATATGTACTGTCTGCCGTCTGCATCGTAAAAGCTGCGTTTATGCACACAGGCAGAGTCCATTAGCAATGGAAAATATTCCTAGGTAAGGTCCTCTAATGCACTAAACAATTTACTTGTGCAATCTTTAAATGGAAATTGTATGTTTCCCTCAAGCTGCCCCTTTGACAGTGCCTTTGAAATACTTCTTGAACTTCCTTAGAAGCATTATGCTGTACTTGCTTTCAAATTATCTAGAAATATCCAGTGCTGAGAGCAAAAAAAGATAGGATGAGATTTCTTCACAATGCTTATTTACTTACACATGCAACTCTATGTCTTAATTCAGGTCTGTAACCACTGAAAAATGAACACGATGAGAATATGAAAAAAACCCAGAGATCATCTGTGCTGGTCCGGTCCCTGTGTCCCTGTACAGAGGTGAGACTGCCTAGAAAAAGCAGGGAGGAGGGGGCACATTGGTCTGTTCAGCACAGGAGCAGGTGCCCACAGAGATGGAAGAGTCTTTGTCCTTGGAGATTTCCAAAACTCAGCTGCACGAGGTCCCGAGCATCCCAATCTGTGTTTGAAGTTAGCCATGCTTTGAGCCAGAGGCTAGACTAGATCACCTCCAGAGGTCCCTTCCAATCTAGAAGTATCCAAATCAAGAAACTAGATAAAGCTGCTGAGATGTTAGAAATTGCAATAAGAATAGAAGAAACCTGCTATCTGGTGGTCTGAGAAGAAACAGAGAGAGGAAAGTTAAAAAAAGCAAACAGCCCTAAAACCCGACCACCTTTTTTTTAAATTACTTAATTGTTATGGAACCTAGGCCCATAATAATAACTGAAGTCAGTCATCTTTTCTTCTTGCACCTTTTTGCAGTTTTACAGTTTCCTTTTTTCCCTCCTGATTTCTGTCCCATTGTTCTATCATTTTTTTGTAGTGTCTGTTCACTAAAAAAAGAAGATGCACTGTAAGAAGTTGCATCTGTTACCTCACTCTCCAGTCACTGAGTTTCATGGATTTGAATCCTTCATGCAAGACTTCCATGGGGTGATATTTTCCTGTGTACCCAGACTGAAATTATCAAGGATATTTGGTGGCCATCTGCCCCTTTAGGCAAGGCAGGCTACCATGTAGGTGTCACCAGATCTTCCACAGTTCAGCCTGACTCCTCAGACATTGTGTTTCTCTGTCTCTGAGCTTTTACAAATCCACAGGCAGTGCCCTGCTGCAGCCTACCTAGGGTTAAAGGCCCACAAAGGTGCACGTAAGAACTTCACACCATTTTTTTGATTAGAACAGAGAGCTTCAGAACATCCTACTGGTACCTGTTCTTGCTAGTCCCCCTCCCTATAAGAAAAGTTTTAGGTTCGAGGTTAAAACTTTTTCTAGTAGATGATCAGGAGGGAAAAGTTGAGCATGATCATATTTAAGTACCTTTGAAGAGTTGGTCTCCTGTGATTTTTATGTGCCCTTCAGCTGGACTTCTTCTGACCTAGTGATGGAGCAACCAGATCACTGAGGGTTGCAGATTGAGGAGCTTTGTCTCATCTCCACGTACAGAGCTCCACGGTGGAGGTGCCAGCAGATGGCACTCGGGAATACACAGAGCAGTCCCAGGGTGGCTGAGGCTGGGGAGAAGTTTGTGCCCTGAAAATGGCTCGTTCTGCACAGCGCTGTCTACGAGACACTCTCGAAACACATCCAGAAAACAGAAAAGTAGGTTTCTTTTCACAATTAATTTTTTTAATGTATACATATATATATATATATATATATATTATTTTTTTTTTTAATTTCATGGCTGTAAGAATGAAGACATTATTGCAGCCAACATGGTGGAGAAAAAGAAAAACAAATTCAGGTAGGAGGATGAATCAGGGCATCTCCATCAAATTCCAGCACTTCTGTGTGCAAGAAATAAAAAGAGGTGGAAACCCTACCAAGAAACCCTACTAAGCACACATCTCCTGCTTGAATCCAACAAGAAAAACAGTGCAAGCCTGGCTAGAGAGGTCCTAGCGAGGAGTAGCTGAACACCTGTTTTCCAGGAAACAAAAGATTATGAATCACTCTGGATTTTCATATGCAAAAATATTATTACTTCATTTTATTTTCCATGGAGAAAAGTTAGAAGCAAGGAAGAGCAAGTTAGAAAACTCCAAGTGGAACCAGTTAATGGAGGGAGACTTTTTCCCTGTGGGTTGCAGACATCAGATCACTTAGATGCTTTAACAGAATTGCAGGCATTAATTAAGTACTTCAAGCTAAGGAAAAAAAAAATTTAAAGTGAAGTGAAAGATTCAGAGGTCACAATCCCCCAGGGAAATACAAGTGGAGTCAGGATGAGACTCCCTGAGGTGCCAGAAGCATTTGCAATTCAGTGAGGAAGATTTACACTGGGGACTCTCCTCTTGTCTTAGGTCCATGGGAACATATTGCAATGTGAATCCTGATGTGCTTGATTTAGAGGAAGTCTGTGTTGATCATTGGGCTTGCTCCAGCAAGGCACTGCAACTAAGGGTGAAAAATGGGTATGTTGTGGGTATTCCGCAGGATGTTACTGAGAGAGAAATCATCTTTACGTGCTCAGAAATGGAATCTAAATAAGATGTGAAAAGTGTTGTGCTGGATGACTTGAGGAAGTTGCAGAGATTCCTTGGCATATTTCATTGCTGTTGAAGAAATTATTTCTAAGGCTGCCTTTACAGCTTTGCAGGAGGTTCATGATGCCAGAAATAATTGGTGAGAAAATTCTGGAGTCTGGGAGACTCTTGGCTACATTCTTTTTTTTTAGTGTATAATCTTGGTCCTCTGCGTCTGAGTATAAGTCCACTGCCATGTTCCCTGGGCACAGGAGAGCTCCAGACAACTCCAGGCCTGATGCTTCTCCAGCACTGGACACCAAATAGCAGCTCTAGTGCTTTTGCTAGTCACCAAGGGTTCACAACACTGCTCTGTGGAATGAACAGCCCAGTGAGTGAAGTGATCCACCCTAGGAATGAGCCTTCAAAGTCAGCATTTCAGTCCAGTGACAGATGGGTAGGTGGAAATCACAGCTGCACAATTAACCCCGGAATGATCCCTGATCAATTTCCAGGGCTGGAATGCTGCTCCTTTTCCTGGAGACCGCATGTTCACCCCGTTCTGAATGAAAGACCTGGGTTAAACCCCAGTCATATCTGCTTGCCTTGCCTTTCAGAGGAACACTGTGCAGATGCAAACCTACACAGGCTACAGGATGACCTGGCTTCTCTTATTATTAAAATAGTTTCATCACTGAGTCTGCAGTAATTACATTCAATTCCACCTTGTGATTTTTGGAGTCGCCCTCAGAGAGATGTAATACCCTAAATCCAATTAATTATGTTCCCCTCCTATTTTTATGTAACAACCAATTCTTGGCTAGCTTGACAAAAGCCTCTTAAAGAGGCTGCCACCATCAGAGTCCTTGGTAGAGAGAGCCAGAGGCAAAGGTCTTGGCACTGGATTTGTGACAGCTGGGGATACTTGAGATTTGGTACCCGATACCTGAGATACGGCTGTATGGAGATGTACTTCTCCCCTGTCTGGAGAGAAAAACTTCATGGAAATGTTTTCAGGTTATGGCTTCGATTTTCAGAAAAAGCAAATTCAATAATACACCAAAATTACAGCCATTACAACTAAAATACAACAAAATTACACCATTGTTTTAATTGGATAGGCAAAGATAACTGAGAAACCTTCATCCTGTCATATGAGTTACATTAATTTATTGCCTAATAAAGCAGAATAACAAAAAAATATGTGCAGGTGATATCCCTCCTTGCTCAGGACCTCACTGGACAAGCCTCCAGCCACAGGATGGGGGTAATTCCTATAACATGCTTGATGGGCTTTCAGTCTTCAGATCCCAGCCCCTATTTTTGCTGTGTTTTCCTTTCAATTTAAAATATTGTTAGCTTCCAGCTGAATATCTTTAAATGCCATGATATAGATGAATCCGAAATAAAGTGATTTCTATTTACTGCTTAGGTCCTTTACTGAGAAATTTTGCGTCTGTGATGCTCTGCCACTTGTTAGTTGCAGATTTACATCCTTTATTTTGCCTTGTCTCGCACTTATTTGCTTACAGTATCCCAGCAACAGCAATCAGACTGGATTTACATCATTTTCTACTGGCATGGGGAGAGCACAAACAACGGTGAGACAGGGTAATATATCACCTGCTCATTGAAGCAACATGGAGTCTGCATACACAAAATGGCATTATTTTAGCTATATTCAATCCCACAGAATAAGTTCTTATGAACCAAACAAGAGATTGCTTTAGGACTGAGAAATTGGACAAAAGGAAAACCTCAAATTTTATTTTCCATTACAGAAAAGTAATAGGATTTATACCTCAGCCTTCTCCAGCTGAACTGTTGCAATCACAGGGTTATTGCTCCATTTAGTGAGCGATGGGACACGAACAACTTCTTCCACCATTTTCCATAAGAAAGGATAGCCCTGGCTGAAGTGTTAACTCCAGGGAAAGTCTCATAGAGAAAGGTGCATTTCACCTGTCCCCTCCTCCCTGTCACATGCTCTGCTGTGGCTTAGGGACTGCACCACTCTTATTTGTCCCTTGTGGCATTTGCATAATAGGATTCATGCATCGCACTGAGAGTTTGGGTGTGGAGCTCAGGACTAGAGCTTCAGAGATGGGGCAAGCAGCTTGTGTCCTGGGGCTGGGATGCTGCATGTTGCCGTCTCCCTTCATGGACCTTGCTCACTCCTCTTTAAGACTCTTAAACCCCTCTTTAAGACTCTTGCTCATTCCCAGGACCTGCTTGATGCAATATCCCATTTTTTTCCCTAAAAATCCTTGTTGTCTAACCCTTTAAACCTGAATTGATATGTAGCTATATCCTTTTAATATCCACTTTAGATTTCCTTCTAGAAAACATAGCACCCATTTTATAATCAGTACATTAATTTCTTCCACTAGCAGAAACCAGTTTCTCTTACTTATTTTCTCTCTTTCAGCCTCTGGAATTTTTTCATGCTGCATTGACACGCATAAAGAAACTGCAGTACTCTGTAGAAAACATGGGAAAATATTAATCCAATTTAACAAAGGAATACATTAAATAGACTAGAAATAGACTGTTTGAAAAAGTGTCAATGGCTGTGGTGAGTTGAGGTACAACCCTACACTGTGGAATACTGATGTAATCTTTACTGACTTCATAGCTGATTTACTGTGGATGGAGCTACATTACAGAAATAAAAATAACTGAGTGGAATTTTAAATGAATTCAACAATCTTTCATCGACCAATTTCTGATCTAGAATTACTCTTAACTAAGTCCTTCATTTCTTTCCATTCACCCTTCTTTGGATAGCTGAATCACTGCTTTTTATTG